TTAAAATGGAAACCATGTTTTAGAAGGAGCTCTTTAACACTCTTATGTTTAGACTTCAAATATTTGACTCTGTTTTTTAGTTTATCTATGTGAAATACGTGTTCATACTCCTCACTCATGAGTGATGCTACTTATTTTTTCCAATCCTTCTTCCTCAAGTTTGCAGCACCCATTTCTACCATGCCCTCCAACAAATTTGTCATGTTTGGGATTCCATTTGAAAATGGAAGAGAATAACCTATTTTCTCGGTTACCACATTTTTTCTTGTTTGGGAATAAGGAAAACGTGGAAACACAAAGCCCACATTTTTCTCTAATTTTGGAACTGCAGTGCAGCCTAAAATGTGCGCTAACGATTTCCCAAAAAAGGGGGAAACGTGAGAACCCCTTGTCCCATTTTATTTCTCTAAACCTCACAATCTGTTTCTCTCTTTGCCCAAGCTTTGGTCCGCGCTTTTTCTGGCCAACAAGTTACCCCATAAGGGTTCTCAATTTTCCAGAATGAGTTTTCTTCTTTTATTTTTTTCTCACGATTCTAATTTTTCAAAGATTCTCCAAGAAAACAACTTTGTTAGTTACCTATTTTTTCAAATAGTTTAAGAGTTGGTTTTTTTAAAATATTAATGGGATGGTATAAGTGGGAATAAAATCATGGTGATTAAGGTGTGTGGGTACTGCTATTGTGGGCCAGCCTTTTTCCCAAACAAGGCCAAGTGAGCTATGTGTTTTTTTATGGCCGTAAATGTGGACACCATAGTTAGGAATATTCCGCTTAAACACAAATTTTTAAGCGATTCATTTTATAAAAAGCATTTTTAAAGGCATGATTTTCAAAATCTTGGAAAAACTCGTGTTTCATAACCGCATTAAATCGTTGTCGATGAAAATATACTTTTAAAATTACAAATTCTTACCATGATCTAAATTTATTGCCATTGAGATGGGCATGGTGTTGACAGATGCAACTCATGAGTTCGTTGAAAATTTAGATCGTATTTGGAAATGAATCTTGCATATGGTCAAAAGTTATAAGAGTGAGGTAACGTATTCATTGAAATTTTTAAAATGATACTGGGAATGAAAGCGACATGGGAATCAGGATTCCTCACTTGCTTCAATTTCAGGTCGTTTGACTACTAAATTTTAGGATATTATTAATTAAAGAGTAATGATCTTATGATACCTTTCCACACCCACGTGTGCATGACCTCCAAAGATCACGATTTTTTAAAAATTCAAGTCTCAAACTCATGTGATAACTTTTCAAGAGATCTATGTCATATTTAATGGTGATCCTTTGAAGTCCTACACACATGAGTGTGGGAGGGTCTGATAGGATCATTACTCTTAATTAAATAGTTAAATTTAAAACTATCCTACTCTATAAGAGGTGCTTTTTTTAGTTTTATTTTACTCAAGTTCCCTTCAAATACATAGTAAAATAACAAAATTAGTTTTGTTCTCGATTGGAAATCCTGAACAAGCAGGAATATTTTAGTCACTTAGCTTTATTTAAGCTGTTCGAACCAAATAACATAAATACCATTGGTTATTTAGGGTTAGCAACGTGGAACTATCGAATGATGAAAACACTAGTGATAATTCACGATTAGCGTCTAGAAACTCACTTCTTTTCATTTTAACTCATGTACTATGTTGCTAACCTCGAACAATTAGAGGTATATCATCATTTTCTCATGCCACTCAACAGAAATAAAAAACTAAAATGCTCCTGCTTATTTAGGGCTACCAATATCAAAGAGGGGCAATTTAGTTATTTAGCTAGATATTTTTAAGAGGTACATGAGTGGAACGAAAATTAACGAGCCATATTAGTAATGTTAAATATGTTGATTTGACTCCTTTAAATCATTTTATAAGGTAGTTTACCCCTTTAATTGATATTTGCTCAAAATTTTCAGGCAAAAATATGATAAGGCAAGGTTTTAAGAATCAGAACAAGCTCGTTTGGATCGATAGTCACCCCTTTGCAAAACCAGTTAGGATCGGCGATCCAAATCGACAATCTGGCCTAGTGAATTGACGAATAAAAAACTAAAAAAATTAAAAATAAAATGGGACCAGTTTTTTGATATTTAGATAGAACTAGACCACTCTCGAGGATTCCTAGTATGAGCCGGTCGGTTCCGATCTGGTTCGTTGATTTTTTAAACCTTGGGGTAAAGTACACTATAAACTTTAAACTATTTTAAAACCGTATAGGGAGAGGTGTGAATCATGCCACAACATGAGATGAATCAGGTAGAGGGTCCCAATTATAGGATCATAGGATCATGGCTTCTGTTTTCAAAATCGAACCGAAACAATTAACTGGACATGGGCCCGGATATGGGTCGGGAATAGTTACAATTGGAATTGAACTAATCGAGCGGTTAACCGAACCTTTTGGTCTGGTAGATTTATTATTATTATTATTTTAAATGAGTCAAGAACCCACCAAAAAAAAAAAACATAGATTAAGTGTATATTATCTTATTATATAAATTTATCTTAAAAAAATTAAAACAACTTTAGATAAATTAATATATGAATATTATGGAGAATACTAACCCCAGTTGAAGTCAAAAGTTATAGAAAGAAGATTAATCAAGATAGTCTCTTACGTCACAGACATTTGGAAATAAGCGGAAAGTTAAAATATCACAAGGAAGACAAAATAGTATTCGTACCAAGCAAGCTTAAGAACTAAAGACGCTATGCTTTGCAATGCTTTACTTAACGATGAAATACATCAAGGACCCCGTTTCTACGCGGCCAAGCCGCCCGCATATGTAGAAATGCGGGCCTCTTAAGAAATATATTTTTGAAATGGATTTTAAGATTTAATTTTTAAGTACATGTAATTTTTAACATGGAGATCATGAATATGAAATAAATAAATAAATAAATTTTAAAAGCTAAAAATAATAATTTGAGTCAGAAAACATTTAGAGCAGTCCATTTCATTTTTTTTAGGCAAAAAACCTACTTGCATCTACCTTTAAGATGGATGCTTTACACTTTCTGGGACTGCAAATGTAAAAACGCGGTCCAACCTATATGAAATAATTTTCCATAAATCAATCCACTGGAGAGGCATTGAACTCTTATGAATTTCCCCCCAAAAAAGGGAATGAAGGTAGTTTTTTTTAGCAAAAGAACCCAGCACACACGTAATAACCAAGAAAATAGAAACCAAGAAAGATGGAAGTTCAACAAGACAAGGAAGAAAAAAAAAAAAAATGAAAAGAGAGAAGAACCAAACATATACAATACAATGGTGCAGTGTTTCATTGAACAAAAAATTTCATGCACTTAAAAAGATAAAATGTCTCATTTCCATTATTCAAATAAAACTATATCATGCACTTAAAAAAATATAATTTTAAAAAAAATCGAGCAACATTATCATGCACTTACTTATTTTTTTGTTAGAAAAAATATAACATTAAAAAAAGAAGAATCAATTTTTTGTCATATTCATTAAAAAATATAATTTTATCAAAAAACATGATTTTATTAAGAAAAATAGAAAAACACTTCCCAAAAATCCCCAAAATCGAGCAACATTTCGAGCAAGAAACAACTCTCAATGTTCGGATAATCGAAAAAATCAACATACATTAAATGCTTCGATCATCTTTCAAACGGACCAAATCTCATTAAAAAATATTTTGTATTTTTTATTTAATTGAAAAAAGACAGAAATTTCAGATCTATAAAATTTTCATAACATCAAGCAAGAAAAAATTCATATAAAATTTTTTACTCCATCATAAATAAATATATCTATTTTATTTGAGAAATGAAGACTTGATGATCAAAATACACAACTCAATTTGATAAAACAATGAGTAATAAATTGATAAAAATTTGCTTTTTGGACCAAATACTGGTTTTTTTAGCAGTAGCATTTCGGGCCAAAACCGACCTACTATTTTTTGTAGTTTGAATAAATTGAGACACATATCTGATAAATGCTTCAATTATCTATCAAATCCCCCAAATTTCATCAAGATTCATTCGGCATTGAAGAGGCACTGCAAAAATGGCAGAAATTTCAAAACCTATGAAAATTCGTCATTTTAATCCACAAAAACTATTTCTTTTTGGATATTTGATTCCAAATTCCTTGTTTTATAGACATTACATAATGATTTTCAATAATAATGCAATGAAAAAAGCCAAAAAATGGCAGGAAAATGAATAAAAAAAGGTAAAAAACGTGGATCACAAGTTCCTCCTAAATATAATAGTCACCATTGGGAAATAACGCTATGTTATTTGCAAATACAAGTTATTAAAGGAAAAAAAAAAAAAGGAAAATATTTCTGTACCCTTTATTTTTTGCTTCCATTTATCAAGAGATCCAAGAATTTAAACTATTTTTGCCGTATAAAATCTCTATCTTTTCTATCTTCTTACCCCTTAGACCCCTTTGACCATACATTTATTGACCTAGAGATTGTGTAAAATGACTCCATCTCTATCTCTCTCAAACCTCTGTATTTCTCTACTTTCTCTCTCTCTCTCACTCAAAACTCTGCATCAATGGAAAGAGTTTCAAAAGAACAAAGATAAACAGTCAAAAAAACTCAAACTCATTAGAGACCTCCTCAAAGATAACTCTATTGAAAAACACCTTTATTCTCAACTCCACCTATTCAATCACACTCGCGGCTACAACCATGGTGGCCCTCGCATCATTTCCGAGCTCTAATGTTGCCGACCTTTCCCTCACCGTTTCCTCCACCTTCCTCTACTCAGCGGCCACTGCCATGGTGTGCGTGATGAGCAAGATCCAGCCCTCTCACTTAGTAGAGGAGCAGAGGAAAGCGGCGGGACTCTTCAAGAGCCTCCACTTGCATATCCAATCCACATTGCGCCTTCACTCCTCTCTCCGCCCAGAGCTTTCTCAATTTCTGGATGATGCCAAAGCCTACCCCCTGCCCTGGCTCCCTGGCATGCTCGAAAAGTTCCCCTCTTAAATGAAGCCAGCAATGTGGTGGTCCAAGAGAGCTGTTGCTACTCCTTCCAAGACTGAGGAGGAGCCGACTGATAATGGGTGGAGCGCTGAGATGGAGAGGGAGATGGCAGATGTGGTAGGGGTGGTACGGGAGAGGGACACAGTGGAGTACATGATGCTTAGCAAGCTGGTTTTGAACTGCAAAAGGGAGATGGTTGTGGTTGGGCCCATCTTGATGGCCGCTGTGACGGTGGGATCGGCACTTGGGGGCTCAACAACAGTGGGTGGCATCATGGCTGGTGCATTGGCATGTGTTGTCAACAGCTTCAGCCATGGTGGGCAAGTCTCGATGGTGTTCAAGATGTACAAGAACAACGCTCGATTCTACCAGTTGCTCGACAAATCATTGTCGTCTTCCCTAGACAAGCGTCCAGTGGAGAGAGAACACGCAGAGTTGGTGGTGATGAGACTCGCCCTTCAATCGGGAAGGAGTATCTCATCACTGCGCAACTAAGCCTAATCCCCATCGTCAAAGAGACCTCCTGCGCACATATTCTTGACAAAATCTCTAACAACCCATTTGATGATGCTGCTCATTTCAAAGGTTGTGGATCTTCATCCTCTAATTCTAAGACCTCTTCTCTCTCCAGAAACCCTTTCAGTAATGAACAAGAAGACCATGAAACCCTTCCATGCCAAAAAACTCAAACAATAGAACCTCAAAGTCTGATGAGAGGTCTAACAGAATTAGGGATGAGAAATTTGTTTCTCATGTGAAGGATATGCCTTATCAGTTGAGGAATCAGCTATGAAAACCGTGAAAAAATTGAAAGAGAGTAGTCTTTTACAAGCTCAAAAAATTGAAAGAGAGGATGAGAGAGGTGACAGACACAGTTTTGAGAGAGAGAGAGAGGAGGGAGAGGGATACGGAGTTTTGAGAGAGATAGATAGTCATTTTACAAAATGTTTAGATCAATAACGTATAGTCAAAGGAGTCTAGAGGGTAGGAAGATAAAAAAGATAGGGACTTTATGCTACAATAAATAGTTTAATTTCTTAAGTCTCTTCGAGAAATGGAAGCAAAAAATAGGGGGCATGGAGATATTTTTCTAAAAACAAATGTTCGATATATTGCCTAACTGGTCCAATTAGTAGAAAACCAGCCAGTTAGTTAAACATCTGGCTAGTTCATGTATTAACCGAGTAGTTTTGGGCTGAACATTTTAGAGAGATGTTCTAGGATATACTATACGCCCAAAACCGGGGTCACCAGAGTCGGCACCCTATCGATTACGATCTAACTGGCCGGTTCCGATTCTAAATAGCTGGTTTTCCCTACACTATCAATTTTCAACCTTAACGGTAGATTATAGCATACTTTCCTAGAAGAAATGTTATGCGGAGTTGCCAATGGGTTGGGATCAGACCGAATTAGGGGAGGCACCTAGTAGGGTTGGGTCCAAACCCAAAAAAATATTGTGGGCCGTAGACCCGGACCAGACCCAAAGTCATCAGATTCGGACCTGATCATATCCAAACTAAAAATAAAAATAATCTATATTTCAAAAAATGTGGGACCCAGAGCCGGACCCAACCCACTGGGTCCAATTTTTAGACCCCTAATTGGACCCGGGTTGGGCTATGCATCGGGTCCCTAGTCCATTACCACCCCTAGACCAAATCCTTTTGGCTAGGACTGGGCTTGGCTCAATTAGGGCTGCAAAGGGTTCAAGCTTTCAAGCTGCCTCAGGATTTCAAGTCATTTTCACGCTTAATCTAGGCATGTTGTGTCGTTCAGGTCGGGCCCGGCCTAGGCCACAAGAAAGGCACCCTTTTATCGGTAACGGGCTGACCCTAAATAGCCTGAAATAGTTTATGCTGGCCCGACCTATTTAGAAAGCCTTTTTTTCGTTTTTTTAGATCTTCACTTTTCAAATTTTCCTTGTTTGTAGTAAGCCAAAAAGATAAAAATAAATAGATGCTAAAATATTTTGTAAAAAAAATTTAAAGCCCATTCTCTATCTAGAAACCCAATCTCTTTTTTTTCTCTCTAAAACACATTCTCTCTCTCTAGAAACCCAATCTCTTTTTTCTCTTTAAAGACACATTCTCTCTCTGTAAACCCATTCGCTCTTTTTCTCTCTAAAAACTCATTATCTCTCTAGAAACCCATTCTCTCTCTAAAACTCAATATCTCTTTCTCTCTCTAAAAATACATTTTCTCTCTAGAACCCAATCTCTCTCTGTAAAACCCCAATCTCTCTTCTCTCTCGAAAAACCTAATATCTCTTTCTTACTCTAAAACCCAATCCCTTTCTCTTTCTAAAAACCCATTCTCTCTAGAAACCCAATCTCTCTCTCTAAAAATCTCATCTTTCTTTCTCTTTCTAAAACCCATTCTCTTTAGAACCCCAATCTATGTTTCCCTCTCTAAAAATCCAACCTCTTTTTCTGTTTCTCTAAAAACCTATTATCTCTTAAAAAACTCATTCTCTCTCTAAAAACCTATTTCCTCTCTAGAAACTCAATATCTCATTCTCTTTCTAAAAACCCAATCTCATTTGCTCTCTCTAAAAATCCGTTTTCTCTCTAGAAACCCAATATCTCTCTCTCTATCTAAAAACCTAACTTTTCTTTTTCTGTCTAAAAACTCATTATCTCTCTCTAAAAACCCAATAACTCTCTCTAAATCTATCTCTCTAAAAACCTATTCTCTCTCACACACATACGAGAAACTTAATGTCTCCCTAAAACCCTAATATCTCTGATTCTATCTAAGGACTCATCCTTTTATTCTCTCCAGAAACCGAATCTCTCTTTCTCTCTCTAAAAACACATTCTCTCTCTTTAGGAACCCAATTGCTCTTTCTCTCTCTAAAAACTCATTCTCTCTAAAAACTCAATCTCTCTCTCTCTCTAAAAATCTACTCTTTTTAGAAATCCAATATCTCTTTCTCTCTCTAAAACACAATCTATCTCTAAAAAATATTTTAGCATATGTTTTATGTTTTTGGATACTACAAACAACAAAAACTTTGCAGAGTGAGATAAAAAAAAGGGGTTTCTTAATGGGCCGAGGCGAGCTGATGTAAGTTTCGAGCTTCTCGGGCCCCGGCCCGGTGCCAGTCTTAGGCTCAATATGTAGTTAGGCACTTAGGCTGCGCTCGAGTTTGGAACCGATTTATATCATTGACGCTTGAGCGTGGCCCGTAAATTACCCTCCATTTTATCCGATTTAAATATCTATAGTAGTTCTTTTCTCCACTTAAAAAATAGGGATTGTATACTATGAGATCATTTATCTTTAGTATACAAGGAGGTCAAAATTATTCTTAACCATTAGATGATCAATTGTATGGTTTGGAGTGTATCACAAAGTTAGGGAATTTTTGATTTTTAGTATAGTCACAAGTACATTTACAACCATTTGATTTGAAATTTAATGGACAAGAATGGTTGCGACTTCATTGTACTAAATCAAATTTGATGGACAATAATGGTTGCGACTTCATTGTACTAAAAGTAAATGTCTCTCTCTTTACTTTTTCTAAAAAATAATTGTTGGGACCAAATATTCTCATAAATATAGAATGAATATAAATTCAACAAAATATTAGAATACATAAATGCTTGTAAAAAAAACCAAAACATATTCATCTTGAGCAAAAGAGAGATGATGGCTCTCTTATTTTGGTATCAATTTATGGCCAGAACTAATTCATTCAAAGCTCAATCAAAACACAATGAAGATAAAAACAAAAAACATATTTTGGTTTTTTTATTTTTCTCTTCTATTTTTTTTCCCTTTGTCGGACAGCAAATTCAGAAGTTATATATCATAATCTTTAAAACATAAGATGTTAGTGGTTATAAGCTGGATTAAATGAGTTTTATATAGAGGGCGTGGTCTATAATATACAATCCATCAATAATAGACTTTCAATATAATATAAACTATAGTGTATAGTATTTTTGTGCAGGGCTCCTGACCTTTGCCAGTCCAAAAATAATTCGAGACTATTATGCCCCAGCCCAGCTCGAGACCCTCAGGCCTGGCTGACCATTTCGTTGCCCCTCAAGTTCTCCTCTTCACCAAATGACGAACTCTCTCCCTACATTATGTATTGAGTGCATATACTATGCCTTTGGGGGAGTATTTTCCCTCGGTCAAAATACATACCTAGGTTGATTTTTTTAGACTAACAATTGGAAACCATATAAAACTAATAGATGATTATTTTCGAAAGAAAATTTTAAATTTTGAGTTTGTGACACTTAAATCTAGCCTTTCAAATTTTGGATGGCTTCTATTCAATACCAAGGCATTAGTTTTTTATTCCAGGACATAGAGAGAGTTTACTTCTTAAACTTTTTTGCCTTAGATTATTCTATAGATTGTAGAGATTATATCTCCAATATTTGAGATAAAAAAAGTATACCTAATATGTATTTTGCACGTGGGAGTAAATAGATGTACACTATTGTGGGAGTAGGAAATCTTTTAGCTTGTGTAATCTATGTATACATTAAGGAAAAAGTTTATATAAGGTTACAACTTTAAAATATAGAATTACAGATGCACCTCAAAAATCTATCAAGAAAGGTTCTTTTAATGTTGAAAAAATTTCTAATAGATTTTGAGTACCAGAAATAGTGCATCTTGCAACACATGTTTTAGACCATCAATTTTCAAGATTTTCATATGTTTATAGATTTACTTGATTTTAGCCATTTTTGGAGTTTAAATTTTATAATTAGGGATAAAAATAGATTTTCAAATAATCCTAAGAATTTTTTACATTAAAATTATATGTATGATAAAATTTGGAGGTTCGTCTTAATTGGTTTGTTTAAGGTTGCAACCTTATACAAACCACACTAATACATTACATAAATGAAAACTTTATATAGAGCTGAGGCTCTAAACAATCAAATTAGAGCCCACCTCAAAAATTTCATTAGTAGAGGTTGTTTTGATGTCCAAATATCCTCAAATTGATCATATCGAGATCAAGATACATGCACATGAGTAAAAAATAGATTTCAATTTTGGAAATAGTGCATCATCTAATGCATTTTGGATCATCAATTTTTAAGATTTTCAAGTTTTCGTAGATCTGCTTGATCTACACTATTTTTTAAGATTGAAATGTTATAATTAGAGATGAAAATATATTTTAAGGCTATCACAAAGATTTTCAGTATTGAAACGACATTTCTTGATACTATTTGAATATACGTTTTACTTTGATTGTTTAGAGCATCGGCTCTATGCAAACTGCACCCTTACGTAAATATACTATGCAGGGTTATCTAGTATATGTAAATAATATGGATCCCGTAACAAACTAGAGGGAAAATATGGAGCTCTTGGCCGCAGCACAAGCAAAGCATCTATGCTTATGTGAACCACCAAGAATGATAACAATGAGTAATGGGTGCAATACACTTCTCTCGCCCACTTAGGAAGATTTGAACCGCTAATGACCATTCAGGAAATTTTGGGATCTAAGG